CCATGACCTTAACGACCAAGCATCCGGAGGAAGTGCAACGTTGGTTTTCAGTCTATCCGTTATCTGTCTATATAAAAAAAATAATAAAAACTTTACGAAATACCTTTTAAATAGTTTGTTATTTACTATATCTTTATTTAATTTCTGTTTTCTTCACTATATTTTATTTTTATTGTTTCTTCTTTTTTATACCCTACACCACCATCAGTGGTGATAGAGGTTATATATAAGTTTGTCATTTCGTGTGTAACACCGAGAAATATTCATCTGAGACCCAACAAAGAATATATTCCGGGTCCTTATCAAATTCTATGTCGATTTAGCTATGTCCGTCTGTCCGTCCATCTGTCTGTCTGTGTAAATTACTCTCATGTTAAAACTAAGTAAATGAAATCAACCAAGTTCTCCGAAAATATTCATTATTGGCCTGAGCAGTTTGGTATTGAAAATCAGCAAAATCGGTTCACAACGTAAAAAGTTATGAGTAAAAATTTCAGACTACCTCGAAAAAAATAACATATTTTTCCTAATTCCCGAGTAGTTTTCTCAGAAACTACCGAAGATTATTCAATGAATTCTGTCACAAGTTATTTACTTTGCCCAGGGATCAATTATTTTCAAACTCAAAACAATCGGTCCAAGATTTCCCATAGCCCCCATACAAAGGTCCATATTCTCGAAAATAGGTTTATTATTAATAACTTATAGGTTTTGCACATATGTATATAATATGAACAGAAATTATATTACCAACGTAAATCTGTCTCGGTCCATAAATGGTCATAGCTCCCATATAAGGTCCACTTCCGAAAATCACTTAAATGAACATAACTAATTAAGAAATAAATAAATATATTGGAATAATATTCAACATAAATATGTTCTCTGTATACATATATCACTCTGGAAAATATTTTTCAGATTGGTCCATAATTGGGCATAGCTCCGATATAAGATCTATTGCCGGTAATCACGTAAACTCACATATTTCATTACTAAATGGAGATATCATATATGACTCTACCAAAATCTTTTCGGGTCGGTCATTAATTGGTCATAGCTATGTGTTTAAAGTAGATATGAACCATCCTGAGAAATATTTTCCGGATCAGTCCATAATTGGTCATAGCTCCCATATAAGATCCACTTCCAAAAATCGCATATTTCATTGATAAATAAAGATACCGGACTAAAATTCCTCATAAATTGGTTTTTGAAATATACAAATTTTTTTCTGGATTGGCCCATAATTTGGTCTCCGATATACGGCCCACCAAAAAAAATACTTAGCAGCACATATTTCATTGACAAAAAGAGATATCGCTAGCTCTTTCAGAAAAATATTTGGATCAGTCCATAATTGACCAAAGCTCTCATATAAGATCCATTTCCTCAAGTCACTTTAACCCATATATTTCATTAACATACAAGTATATATGAACAAAATCCGATATATTATATTTTGTGTATCGATAAATTATTCTGCGAAATTTGTTTCAGATTGGCCATACCTTCCATAGCAGGTCTATAAACTAGTTATAGACTTGATCAAAGTTAGCTCCATTGGTTTATAAAGCAACTACTAATAAAATTTATTAAAACCCTGAAACTATTTAGATGGGTTTCAAAAAGCTTACAGGTATTTAAGATTCGGCATAGCCGAATATAGCACTCTAACTTGTTTTTGTATTAAAATTAAAAAGGAACATTCTAAAGGAACAGATGTTATTCGTCATGTCGTTCGAGTAAAAGTAAACTATCATAGTCGAAAACCGGTACCTGGGCACCACAGGACTGTTGGTGCGGATTCGCTCTAGAGTCCCCCGTTGAATGGAGCTGGTGACGGCGTGTCTTGATTTTCTTGTGTTTAGGTTTAACTTAACGTTTTGTTTTTTAATTTAGTTTCACGTTTAGCTTTTTAAATTTTAAACTTTCAAATGGAATACAAATAATTTAATTAAAATAAAATTGTTTTCTTTATTTACGATGACAAAAGCCACGGGCTCCACCTTCTTCCTGAGCCAAGTCTTTATAAAAAAAATCCCTTTTCTATTCAGTTGCCACATGTTTAATTTGCTTCTTCTTGTATTTGGTAGCTTAACTACAGGGTGCACACGACAACTAATTCCTATTAAAAAGTCATTCCCAACTGAATGTTGGAAACCTCCAGAAGCTAATAGGGTACTTTATCCCAATTGTATTTTTGGTGGAACTGTGGTAAAAAGTTGCCCTTCAAATACCAATTCGTCAAGAAGAAAATTTAATGCTTCCTTCGATAGTCTAAACCGATTTTTAAATCTAAAAAATAGAAATTAGTAGTCTATGTATTTTTTTAAATATAAGATCACCTTCTCATTATTTTGCAAACTTAAGGGGTGACTAGTATTCCGTATTTTTTATACCGATCATCAAAAAAGATGGGGGTATATCGTTTTTGTCATTCCGTTTGTAACACATCGAAATATTAGCCCTTAGCTTCTGTAGAGCTAAGAACCACTGTGGACTGCTTCCATCTCAACCAGGTTCATCCATACATAAGTTCAGAAAAGACGTTTTGTTGGGATGTTTGTGGTACAGTCAATTGTCGTGTTATGCCACACTCTTTCAAATAGTTGTTAAAATGTACTCACCCCATTGTCGTTACGAATGCATTTTATATTTCCGCCAGTCTGATGTTCCACCTGTGCCTTAATATCTTTAAATTTCTCCAATATTTCAGATTTTCGCCTCAAAAAATAAAGAAAGGTACTCATGGATTTATCATCAATAAAAATTAGGAAATATTTCGATCCACCGATAGATTGAACCTTCATCGGCCCGCATACATCCGTGTGCACCAGTTCTAGTAACTCATATGATGTTGACGTAGATTGAATAAATCGTCTATAATAAACTTTATTCAACATGTAAGTTATACACATCCCTTTTGAATCACTCCCCTTAGAATCTAAGCCAATCACAATTTTGTCCGTCGATAAGAGGTCAAAACTTTTGGCAATTATATGACAATACTAATCATTCCATTTTAAATTTTGCAGCTCTCATCAATTTTTGTCGTCCAACTTTTCAATTTGATATAACAAACAGTTTTACATCATTTAAAAAAAAAAAAAAACTATTTTTAAACTTTTCGCGTACACTGCGGCCCATAACCTGGTGAAATTATTGATGTTGAATAAAAAAATTTGGTCATTGTATACATTGGCAGAAAAAGTTACTTAGCTCTCGAACAATACTTTATATATGCCAAGTAGTGTTTTCACGGAAATTTCCGGGACGGAAAATCCAGTTAATTATTTTCCTTAGTTTAATGTGATATTTTTGACAAAAAATTTTGTTTACAATAAATATATTGATTTGAAGTGTTAAATTCAAAGAAGATACATTAAAAAGTGCTAAAAGCTAGGAAACAAATTACTAATGCATTATTATTTTTAAGCAATTTATTGACGAAAAACTATATACAAGTATATTTGATATAATTAGCCCAAATCGATAGGTTCGGTTATTTGGGTGTAGGTGAAACAATGGATGCATATCATTGTTAGTTATTGGGGTAAAAGAGCAGTATTCAAAAAAACATAGCCGATTAATTTTTTTTTTTTAAATCCTAATTATTTTCATAATATTTTGTTATCCAATTTTCAATTGTTTATGCACTTTTTAATGTATTTTACATTTTTTTATTGTATTTTGAAATACATACCGAATACGTTTGAAAATACAAAGTTTTTTAAATTGTTTTAAAAAATTTATGAATACCAGTAATATTTTTGAAAATCAAATTTGTTTAGAATAGAAAATTGTATTATCATACAAACATTTTTGACAAGTATTAATTCTCAGTATTGTAATCTGAAAATACCTTAAAAATTAATTATACAATCCTCAATAAAAACCATTCCGACAGAAATATTTTGTGATTGTACATAACATAAATTACAAATCATATCCCATATAGTAGCATATAGGCGAAAGGGATTGTCAAAGACATAAGTCCCCTGTCAAAAACCTAACTGGTGAGAATGTATTAGTAGAAGCAAAAAAATAAACACAGTTGTTCAAAAGGTACTAAATAATAAATGAATTTCTGATACGTTATTTTTTGTATGTTATTACTGGGATTTTATATACTAGTGAATGAAAATAATAGTTATTTTATTTTTTTCAGAAGATATTTCTTTTTGTTATTTGTTTCTGCACTAATGAAAAAAGAAAAAAAGTATGTGAAATACTTTTTTCATTTTCAATACGAAAATTTACAACTTTTCTTTTTTCAGTTTTAAATAAAATGAAATGTCAAAGAATAAAAAATATGTTTTTTTCGTTTGTAAAATATAAATTATTTTCGGGTTCTTAAATACATTAAAAGTGTGGCAAAAAATAATAAATATTAAGTTTAAGTGATAAAAAAAACTATTAAGTGCTAAAATCCTCGCAATTTTGCGAAGAAAATTTGAAGTTTTGTGAGTACGTTTAATTCTCTCAAGAGTGTTTAATTCTCTCAGATCTCGTCTGTGTGAAGAGAATAAAAAATTTTGTTTGACAACCCCTTCAGTTTCGCCTATATCCCTACTATATGTCATATCCTTTAACCCCTTTTTATTTAATTTTTATTGCCTTTTTATTTGTATCTAACTATAAATAACTTAATAATAATACGAAAATGTAAAAATGTGTTCTAGGCGGGAATTCCCGGAAAATAAAATAGAAAAAGAAAAACATTAATACCAGTTGAGTCCGGCCCCAAATTTTATCCACATAAATACCCTTAAATTGTTTGCCAAAATTCAAAACTAGTATGCCATCTATCAAGTTTATACGTTTATAATACAAAAATAAAAACATCTTGTTTTGCTTGTATTTCTTTAATTTATCAATAAAAAATAATAAAAATTCATGTAAACAGAAATATGAAATTAACAACTTTAGATACTAAGTTAGTGTGTAATGCTATAAATATGTAATTAAAATAAATACTTTGTAAATATATTATAGATGTAATGCAAGTAATTTAAACGTATGAAACAATCACGTAATGCAACAGCTGTTTCGTCCACTACTCGTTGGTGTTTTACATCGGTTTTTACTTTTCGAATTATTACTTAACGTATTAAAACACTGGGAAGTAGTCAGAGCATATGATTTTAGTGTTGATTTGACAGATGGAGGCAGAGGTAAGGAATCTATTGCATATACGCTGGTACGTCTGACAATTGTACGGCAACATAATTCTTGTAAAGACAACACTGCAAAATATAAAAAAATATATATGTATTGTTATTAAAGTATGAAATACAAAAGTATAAATGAAATTTTAATAGATATTAGCGGTTTTCACTCTTGGTAGTAAAGTACCATTGTATCCATGTTAAGATGGTAGGTATATTATAAATAATACTATTTACATCAACGCAACAACAAAATATATTTATTTTAAATATACATCGCTGTACTAGAACTACCATGAAAAAAGGTCTAGTATATAAGCGTGGTAGATTTACCAACAAAATAAACAGCTGATCGGCATACCGCCAATAACTTAAAGTGAAAATTAGCAGTGTGATGGTCTAATGTAGTTTTTTCATTGGAATTTCAAATTTTGGAGACAGAACGTAAACATAATTTTTGCTAATACAACCATTCCCTCAACAAAAACTAAGAAAACAAATTAAGATGTCTCTTGGCAATTATATTTTAAGAATAGGCAAAAATGTCTCAAGCAAATAGTAACATAAAAAATGTTGTAAAAACTTAATATCCAGCAAAATCTTTGCTTACAATGATTACCATTAAGTACTTCATTAATGACTTACTTTGTAGGTAAAGTTTAAAAAAATCAAAATAAAGAAACAAACAAAAATAAAACAGTTACTTTTTCTGTTTTTTTCCTTTTTTTGTGCACACGATATCAAATGTCTATTTTTAGACAAACAGAAAATAAAATAGTATTTGTGTGTGAAAACTATTATTTGACGCACAATAAATCAACAAAGCAGTGGTGTGGTAAGAGTAGCATTCAACTGGTAGACGGAAGGTAGAGTTCAACCCCAGTCTGTGTCGACTTTTATTTTTTCATAAATATTCTATAAATAACTCTACTAAAAAACAACTTATTTCCAACCAAATAATATTGACTTACTTTTGGAACATCTCAAACAAAAATAAGTACTTTTTCTAGTAGAATTGTAAGCACTTTACTCGATGAGTACTGGTGATTTTTCTAGTGAATTTGTAAGCAAATATTTTGCTGGGTAACTGCTAAAAACTAGTTGTGTTAAGATATTTCGAAACTCTTTCATGGATTTTGTGATAATCTTTAACACTATACATTGAATTTCATTTTTGCGTAATAACAAAAAATCAGCTGTTTTACCTAGTTTACAATAAACAACAAAAGTTCGCTCACGCTTTCTATAAAAATTCGGTAAATATAATAGGGTATTAAACATACTACCAAGAGTGAAAACCGCTATTATATATGAAGTTTTAAAAGTAATTAAGATTTGTTTTTACGTTATTAATAACAATGAAATTGATTTTAGTGAATAATAATATTTATTTGTTTTTCTTTTCACGTGCATTAGAGCAAAATCACATTGATTCAACAAAACTTTTTATTAAACTAGGATTTTGTACCCGGTGTTGCCCGGGCATTTAAGTGGTTTCATAAAATTAAACTTTACTATTATCCCCTTTGGGTAAACTATAGATCAATTTATGCAAAAGATCGGAGGCTTTCAGAAATATACAAATTTCGTTAACATAAAACAACTTCCACTAAGGGTGGGCTCTCGAAATGTACATATTTCTGAGACTAAAAATCGTGGTCATAATCAGTCTTAAAGCAGAGAAGTACTAATTTTGCCCATTTTGGCCTTTGCCTTATTTTTTGTCTCCCTCTGGTCCAACCATCGCAACGTGACTTTGCTAATACATATTTCTGACGCTTTAAGAAGCTAAATTGAAAATGGTTTTTCTTAAGTATGGACAATAATTAGTAATTACGCTTAAAACTAATTTTGCCTGTTTTTCATCCATTTTTTAAAGAAACAATATAATAATACCCTCAAAACTATGTTTCTAATTTGAAAAAAGATAGTATAAAGCTACGTTCAGACCTATCAAACATTTGATGAAAAAGACGTAACCACTAATTTTGTAATTTTTTTTTTTTTTTTTGATTCTGCATGATTTTTGTAATTGCAAATATTGTCGAAACAAATAATAAAGACGTTCTGAACTGATGTCGTCAAAGATATATTATGTTTGTGCAAATAAATATATATTTTAAGGAAATCAAAATGTAGATTTTTTTAGGGGTCACGTCATTTTAGTCAAACATTTGATAGGTGTGAACGTAGCCTAAGACCTGCTTTTACCGGTTTATACAGCAAATACAGAATTCCCTTTTGTACCTGTTTTCCCCCTAAGAGTGGCATTCGAAACATACATATTTCTGAGACTATAAAAAAAAAAATAATCTAAAATATTTTGACTTCAGAACAGAAAAAGATCGGTCTTAAAGCACTTTTGTGTATGTTCCCTATGTTAAGGGCGGCTGGAAGGTACAATCTGGTTCTGTCAGTCTGAATGTTTTTGGTCGTAACAAAATCCAGGGTGCGTCTGACTCATATTGAGCGGCATCCTGGTCTGCGTCTGACTCCAGAGCGGCAGTGTCTTTTTTCACACCTATGGTAGAGGTATAAACTACCAGAGCAGGCATGTGACCACATCTAAACATGTGCCCCATGCCAGCACTGGACCGAACACGATCACCGTCTCGGAGAATCTCAACGTACAGCCATCTTCATCAAAGAAGGCCACGTCGGGACCAAAGAGAGGTGATGACCAATGCGGCATGACAAAGTCTGCTAGCACAACACCCAAGGGACTGTCTGCATCTTCCTCTTCTCGAGGTACGGCGACGGTCATCAAAGGTCCAGCAAGCAGGCCTAGTATAAAGCGGCAAAGGTCAGGTGAAACGCAGGTGTCTGAGGGTAAGCGGTTGAAACCATCAACTAGCTTAACATCAGCACCTGAGCTACAAGTAGCCATCATAGACCGTAGCACAGTGGTATAGGAAAAAAAAAGAGGGAAACTTCTAAACGGTTAATCCGATTTTAATGAAATTTGGTATGCACAAAGAGGAGGTGTTGTCGATTTTAGGTTTTGAATTTGGACCTTATAGGCAACCAGGGGCCCGGCGGGGGGTCCTCAAATTAGGACACCTCGGCTATGTTAAATTTTTAAAACGATCCTATTTCTTCATTTGAGTTCCGATTTAAAAAAAATTAGTAAAAAAAGCAGTAAATTATCTCTTATAGTTTAGGAGATATTCGCATTTGAAAATTAAAATTTTAAAATTTTTACCGTCCTTACTTTAGTTTTTTTGATAATAGCGGGTCCAAATATTCCCGATTTTCGCCATTTTTTTATTCGCTTAACAACAAGTTTATATATTAAGCAGTGAAAGAATTATGTAAAAATCATGACTGAGTCCAAAGTTATAGGCATTTTAATTTAAAAAATAAAAAAAGGCGATTTTTTGTAATTTTTTGGGAAAAAAATATCAAATTATAGTGACCTGTTTTATATGACCCAATATGTTCTTAATCATTTTGTAGCGGGTTTCGATAACCCTGCCCCTGGTATGGATATAATAGGCAAAAAACCAAAAAATCCCATTTTTGGGATTTTTTAAAACTTTTTTGAGAATTCCGGGATTTCTAATAAGAAAATTCGAAATTTTTATTTATAACTGTATAACTGTAAAATTTCATCAAAAAATATTCATAAATAAAATTTTTATTGCAATTTGAAAAAATTGTATCTTCGCAAAAACTGAATAAAAAACATTTTTGAATAGAAAAATAATAGTGCTATGTAAATTTTCTAAAAGATTTTCTTATTAGAAATCCCGGAATTCCCAAAAAAGTTTTAAAAAATCCCAAAAATGGGATTTTTTGGTTTTTTGCCTATTATATCCATACCAGGGGCGGGGTTATCGAAACCCGTTACAAAATGATTAAGAACATATTGGGTCATATAAAACAGGTCACTATAATTTGATATCGACTATGCGATTTGAGAATTTTTGCTCAAAATTGAATTTTCCATAAAAAATAGGGTTTTTTTGGATGGACCTGGTCCCCTCGGTATCAAAAATTTTTAGGTTTTGTTTCATTTATCGTACTTTATGTAAAGTCAGCTTTCCAAAAAGTATAAATTCTATATACATCTTCTTAGAAACTTTTTAGATAACTTAAAAAGAAAAAGATACTTTTTTCCCAAAAAAATTACAAAAAATCGCCTTTTTTTCATTTTTTAAATTAAAATGCCTATAACTTTGGACTCAGTCATGATTTTTACATAATTCTTTCACTGCTTGATATATAAACTTGTTGTTAAGCGAATAAAAAAAATGGCGAAAATCGGGAATATTTGGACCCGCTATTATCAAAAAAACTAAAGTAAGGACGGTAAAAATTTTAAAATTTTAATTTTCAAATGCGAATATCTCCTAAACTATAACAGATAATTTACTGCTACGACAACATTTTTTATAGTGCTCGATGAGGAGATTCTATATACGAATATATGTCCTAATTTGAGGACCCCCCGCCGGGCCCCTGGTTGGCCTATAAGGTCCAAATTCAAAACCGACAACACCTCCTCTTTGTGCATACCAAATTTCATTAAAATCGGATTAACCGTTTAGAAGTTACCGAATTATTTCCCTCTTTTTTTTTTCCTATACCACTGTGCGTAGTCATCCCGATGTGAAAATTACTACGGACAGATGGCTACTTCTGGAGGAGAAGATCTTGCGGGCACTAGTTGACGAACTCGCACGCAGTGAGGATGACTCCTTTACTGCGTTCGATGGCGCCAAATGGTCAAAGGGTGTCAAAATCATCGGATGCGGTAATGAGAAAGCCCTAGGCTTTCTCAAAAACTGCATCCGAGGAGTTGGCGAACCCTGGCCCAACGCGAAGATTGAAATCGTCCCACTGGACCAAGTACCTTTTCGTACGACGGTGAGAGTGTGGGTTCCTCCTCCTATTCTGGAGGACAAATCCATACTAACACTAATCAAGCGTCAGAATAAGGAACTTGGTACTGATGACTGGACGGTAGAACGAGGACGCACGAGGGACAATGGAGAAGGTAAGGATCTCTGGATCAAAATTGGTTCAGAATCCCTCCGACTCCTTCGTTCCTCTCAAGGCGTCATAAAGTACGGGCT